GTATCAGCCTCATCTAACAGTTATTTTGATCCGGTTCTGGCCTGATCGCCCTCACCTCTTCTACCATTAAGTGTCATTCATATGATTAGTTATTCTGCCATATACTAAGTTAATCAGTATCCACTGTTCTATTTAGCAAATGCAACGCATTTTATCCTCCTCTGCTCTTAACTTCAAGGATTCACACCCTTAAGCGGCTACTGAACAACTAGCACTTGCAGCAGTCTTATCTTGATATGGCCTCGTCCTGAATTGCAGAGAAAATATGGCCAGCATCGAGTGCCATTTTATTTTCTATGACAACAAAAGCGCCTTATTCGGACCAGTTATTCTACTTCTAATAGAGATCCTTTACAAACAACCGCTAACTGTTCATGAGACCTTTATAATTCCAGTAATTTTACACAGAGTTCAAAAAAAGAACAATTCTCGTACAGAACGAAGCATTTAGTAGCCTTGAGCTTGGCATCAATAACACAGTTAGGAAAAACAAATTTTCGTAAATGATGAGAGTATCCCCTCCCAGAATCGAAATTTACAGACTACTTTTTTACTTAAATTTATCATTCTCTGTTAGCAAAGAAAGAGTATAATTTTAGCAAATACAGAACACACTATTTAGAAAAGCAATACATGACCACATCTGCGCAGAACAGCCTAAAGTACAAGTGAATAAAAAACGTTAAGGACAGAAACGAACATATGACAATACAAGTCTAAGTCAAGGGTTCAAGCACTAAAGATATTTGAGCTTGACAGATGAATGTGGCTGGCTGGAGGACAGCGTAGTGGGGACTCATCAGTTATAAAAAAATATTTCATAAAGTTTCTAAGGACGGTTTATCATGAAACGTGTAAATCAGCGACAAAATCGCTAGCCACCTTTAAAACACAAACTTAAGAATAATTAAAAAATACCTAAGTAACAGTAGTGAGAGAAACATACCAGCCTTCTGTACGCAACGCAGCTACTCGCTAAAATGCCGCAACTTCCGTAAGTCCTGGTACTGTCACTATGAAGCCGCACTTCCAAAAGCCCGAAAATTATTACGGTACGCCTCAAGACATTGACGAAAGGTACATTCCATTTCTATGCAAGTATATTCCGTTGAATACAGAAACAGTACCGTTTAGTGCCATCCGCTGAAGTTAGTCTGCGCGACATCATCTTTAAACTGAAGGCAAACACTAGATGCCTATTCAAAAATATGAAAGACTACACCATTGATCAATCGGAAAACAATTGCTAACAGTATATTACACTGATTCTTATGCTCTGCTACCCCATCATTTGACGATGACAAACAACCAGCAATATTATTTGATGTTCAAATAAAGTTTTCGTTTTCTTCGAGCAATTAAAATTAAATTGGATAATTGTCTCTGCTTCGATGGTTTTTGGTTTTTGAAACTTATCCCCTAATTTGGATGAAATTATTTTGGATAAAAACGAACATTAAACTATGTTAAAATCCGCATGTACTCAGCTTAGTATTTTTTTACTCGCAAAATGCCGTTTTCATGAAAGCTCAATAATGGCTGAACAATTTATAGCAAGGCCAGCTGTTCTGAATGTGATTGCTAAACTGCGCGGATCGTACAAAAGATTAGTCTATTCACTTTTGCAACCAAATATTCATTCAAATCCCCTTTATGGTCTGTGCTGCGGCATCATCAAAGAAAAACAATGGCTACTCAGAGGGGCGTTACTCATCCAATCCCAAAAACTGTGGCAAAAGAATTAAGCTTACCGTGGATTCGGTAAACCTCCTTGCCCCTGTCGCCAAAAAATTATTTAACCAGCAACACACTCACGGAAAGCTTGACGTGTTACTCCGAAACTATCCACTGCTGTGGATTGTCACATTCATGAAACTTCATCACCAATCTACTTTCAAGAAGGCCCGTGAGACACAGACTGACTTGTCACTATTGGTCAATCGCTGAACTGACCGCAGTAACTTCTGCTTTGCGCCTAAGCGAATGGTTATTCCCGCAATTTTTTCCAGTATGTCGTGATTTTAATGTGTTGTGCTTTGCAGTGGTGTAGCCTTTCTTATCTGTTCTGCTGAGGTAATTCTTTTGGTTTGAAAATTCGATTTTTCAGTTTTCTATCGGTAATAGAATTTGATACATTGAAACCTTAGATATCACCCTGCTGCTGGATTTAACAACCGCTGTAATCTTTCGCAAATTATATGACAATAAAGAATTAAAAATGGCACATTGTTGAAATTGTTGTGTCTAACATTGCCGATGTTAGAACTCAGTTTAAAATTCGTTATCCCATGGTTGCAATGACAGAAACAAATTTAATGAAGTAATATGATTATTACGCAATGGAAATTTAGTTGTTTTATTTTTTCTGTAAGAAACTCATTGCTACGGAATTTTAGAGTTCCTTCTAAGCAATTTAGCTGTAATTATTTACGTTATAACCGCTTCATGGTTACGTAAACTGACATTTAAACATCTATCTGTTTTAGTAGGTTCATGATAAGCTTTAATTTCATATGCGTTATAGAGTAAATTATCAAAACATAAAGAAAAAGAAGCGGAGAAGTTTCTGCATGAAGGGGGAACTCGATTTTTTCGGATGGAAATTACTGATAGGGCCTAATACTGTTGTCATTGTTACGTTGTTAGAAGAAGGCAAGTGAGATGCGATTGAACAGCCGGTACAAGCAGCCATTTCAATGGCTGTTTATTTGTGTTTGATCAGTCGAACTGTCGTTCCGTTTTTCAGGAGTTTCGGCATTAATTGTGGTGCTTTCATTGCACCACACTGTTTTTCTTTATAATGTAACAACCCAACGTTTTATCCTGAAGTTCATTGCTGCTAACAAACAAATTAATTTCTAGGGTACATTTTGTCTCCTGTATCAAACCATTTCGAAATTTTAAATTTTAATTTTTCTGCAGCTATGCAAGTTGGTTGTTCATATGATCATGTTAATAAAATTTAGATGCTTTAAAATGCAAACATACTATTGAATCACATCATCACGAATGTACCGGTTCTTGCAATGCCGTTGGATCTTTAAGTTTTACTAGTTGCTTTGATTAAAATGAAAATTTCCACGTAAACCATACATACATAGCTTCGAACTTTCTACGGAACAAATGAGCATGCGCAAATTCTACAAAAATCATGCCTGATAAACTTATTGTCCATTTAGTACTAAATATGTTCCACTTGTTTAGGAAGTATATTTCAGCATCGGCAGATCAACTTTTTAAATTCACTGGAGACAAGTTTGGCATCTAGAACTGTCACAGTAAAAAACGTTATATTTGAGCTTCTCAAACAAAGCAGAAACTACAGGAAACTCTACTTGCATGCAGAGTCGAGAATAGTACAATTTGAATTCACTGAATAATATAGAACTCACTTCCTATCATCACTGCTTACCTTTTTTAATCCACTGCTGAACGAATATATCTCAAAAAATTTGACGTATGCCTCCGTGATCGTTGTCCACGTCAGTCCAGCGAACTTCTATTGTTTATGCTGCCACGGATCTGAGTTTTATTACGAGCTGTTTACTTTCTCTTGGAACCGAGTTTAACGTCCCTCTACTTCAACGATGGAAATAAAGAATACACTGGACATTATTACGGCAACTATTTTTTCCAGTAATGACATCGTAGACTTTTACTTGTGTTCCGACCCACTCTTTTGTCTCAACTTTTTCTTGTTATTCCTAACGTACACTTTCCGTGCTACATTACCTATCTGCAAGTTATAAATCTCTCAGACTAGGACTCCATGTTTCTCATCCAATGTTCAGCACCGGAAGAACACACTTATACTTTTCCCTCCAAGCACAAGTGTAGTTTCCCTAAAAAGAGCATTTCCAATCTTACAGAAAAATCGTTTTCCTCCGTTTATCTCGCGGTCTGTTTATCGTTTCAGAAGTGAGCCACTCTTGATAGACGTAGTACTGCACTTCATGAAGGATCAGTTCATCGACTTCAACAGATTGCAGATTCACGAACATTTTAAGCGTGGCCTCAGTTTTCTTCATGACGAAGACCCACCTGAATTTTATAAGCACATAATTCATTTCTCGAATTTAATATTAGACTTCAGAACTGGAACGAACAAAATAAATTAACCGTTTATCGGTAACTGCCCAGCAGCACCGTTAAAGTCTTGCAGACTAAAATATCATGATATAATCTGGCATTACACAAATTACTGAAATAAATGTCCGTCGTATCCAAACAGTATTACGACTTGCAAAGACATGAAATGCAGTAAACGAAGCAATCATCGGGAAACCTGTCCTGCGAAACAATAGAAAAAGGTTCTTCGAGTGTCCCTACCGATCGGGAATATTCGTGAAGTGAATGCGGTGTAAATCACGTGCCACGGAAGAAATGGTATCGACCGTAGAAGGCTTATGTTCAGTTACGCAACGAAGATATTCTTCCAACGTTCTCTCTGTGCATTTAGCAATGAAACGAACAAACGGACGAAGATCGCCTTCATTCGCCAAAATTAACTTGTCATAATACTCAGGACGATCTTCCAATCGGATCGTGACAGGTGGGAAGCCGGCTTGCATCAAGATGAAGTTCATGAGCAGACGGGCCGTTCTACCATTGCCGTCGATGAACGGATGAATAGAGACAAACTTGTAATGAGCGATGGCAGCCATTTCAACAGGGTGAATTTCGACTGCGGATTCTGAATTGATCCATGTAATGAATTCGTTCATTTCCTGTTCCACTGAAAATTAAAACAAAAACGATTTATGATTTGTACAGAAAAAAGTAGTACCAAGCTGCGGCTCCGTGGGAGTAAATTTTCCGATGAAAACCTCGGTCGTTCGAAACCTCCCCGCCTCGACCGGATCCACGTATCCGAGTACCCGCTTATGAATATCCAAAATGTCGTTGATAGTGATTGCGCCGATTCGATTCGTCATTGAGGAGTTGATGAAGCGTAGCGCGGAATCCAAGCCCAAAATCTCGTTATGTTCCATCACGCTTTTACCAGCTATAGCCAACTTCGTTTCAAGAATTGACCGCGTCTGCATCAACGTCATCGTGTTGCCCTCCAAGGCGACAGTATGGTACACATGAGCAATGTACGACTCGCGCATGGCACGCCGCAGAGCCGAGTTGCCACGCGGTATACGCAGGAACATGCCTCGCTTCTCGTCCAATATTCGCATCATGTCGGCATCGATTTCTGCGACAATTGGCTTGGTTTTAGCACTATATCTGAAAAGAGCAAAATGTGTCATGAGAAGAGAGATCATCTTCTTTAACGAAGAAAAAGACATGAATGAAACATCTGTTAAATTAGGTCTGGGCTCGAAAGGCAGTGGGTCTTAAATTTTGTTAAGCCAAACGTAGAAGCAAGCCTTCGCAATGTAAAAGCAGTCGCACTGTAATATACACAGTCATTACAATAACCATTAGTCCACTATCTTTCAACCCCATTAAGGTTTGCTGATATGGAAGATCATCAGAACTGGCGACATAACCATCTTTCACCTGAGGTCGACTAACCAATCATCTATCCATCCATTTTCATTTATTTGTCTCATTATAAGTTGTTCGTACGCCCGAGTATATGACTCATTCACGACCAGATTTCCTGTCTTACTGAACTCCCCCTTGTCCATAGTGGCTTGGGGCGGGGAACATTTAAGCAGGCCGGACTCTGGTATTTGAGCATCTGCAGAGCTGAATGCCTCGCATCATTTTGTCAGCTAGAGCACCTCACGCTTATGGATAAGATCGGGAACGTTGGAAGCACTGTCTGACACGTCTGCCTCCGCGACCCGAAAGGAGAAGCGGCCATGCAAGATAATGATGATGAGCAACCTCTCACTTATCACGAACAACTGCAGGAGCTACTACTGCTCATATTCCACCTCAGGCTACAACAAAGTGGAGGTGCAATACGTAATGAAATATGATCTTAGATAATTCATTCGTTAATCATACTCGAGTGTACGAACAGCTTATAATACGTACACGATAGCATATAACAAACACCAGCTCATGAATCGTCATTCGTAATGAGCGCGAGGTGGCTCCAGATCCGCGCTAGGCAACTTGGAACAAGAAGGCGATACAATATACCGTCAAGTCTGGTCCTGGATGAGTGATTCGTTATTTGACATGCTCGGGTGTACGAACAACTTATAATGCTAATGTAACAGAATATGAATAATACCAGCTCCTGAAACATCGTTCGTAATAAGCGCGAGATGGCTCCAGCGGAAAATGATGCGATATGCATCTGGCTCTGAAGGAACTGAAATACCATGGAACCGTAAAATGCGCAAATATACCTTCTAAGCAAAACCAAGAACAATGGGGGTGGTGCACTTCGCCGTGAAATCCGATCACAGAGGAGTCATTCATTATTCATTTATTCTCATTCATTCATGTATTTTGTGACATTTATTTTCATTTATTCACTAAGTCAAGCATTCATTACTTTCAAAGTCCGCAATTCCTTTATTGTCGCAAAGGTAACAGTAAAAATTTGTCCAGTGGTTCCACTCCTCCGTCAATCGGTAAACCTAAATAGACAGGGTTCTAGGCAAGGCAGTGGCAGGCATTTAATATACCTGAACCATCTGATTTTCAGTCTGCCCTTTGCAATAGCTCATTTGGTTGTCTTATGAGATTCAGACCTATGATAACTTCCTACCTGATATCTAGATCACATTTCCAAACAGTCGCAATTGTGATATCTCAGTACGATAAAAGAAAAGTTCTCAAGCAACGACACAACGCACTGCTATGTATCGAAGCCGTTCGAGCCTCGTCATCAGCAGTCTATCGAAGATATCACATTTCTGCTATGTCAGAATTCCTCAAGGACCGGATCCTCGCGAAAATAACCACGAACAGAAACTTAAAATGAAACGCATTTGGCGCTATGTTTACATATTTAGTAAGGACAAGATTTCAGCTTACTCCTTAGCAACAGAGTGATCCGGACGAAAGATCAGGGCTCGACTATAGAGGAAATTCGCCTTGACGATGTCGCCGCTGTAATTTTCGACGAAAATGCCGTATTCGGTAAGGATATCCGGGTGATTCGGCTGGAGAGCCAGCGCATGTTCATAAAGCTTCTCTGCTTTATCAAACTTACCATTCCTGCAAAACCCGTTCGCCGCGTGAAGAGTCGCCAAGGCTTCGGCTTCACTGCCTGAACAGAGCAAGTAAAAGCAAATTTCCAGTTACAGTGTCAAGAAAATACCTCTGTCATGGACAGGCCTTGCGAGTGCTGATTCTCTACCAACGTAAACCCTCGCATCATGCAGAAAATCAATGGGTTCGATGAAATACGAAACTTCGTACGACGCATGCTTTCGCACCGGCGGCGGTGAAGGAGAGTTGAACAAATACGACGGAAACAGTGGTAAATAACCATCATAATACAAAACAGCCCAGCCGTATAAAAGAACCGACAGAGAAAAAACCAATAAAGAAGTTATGTGACATGAAATAAACATGTAAACTTTCATTGCGATACAGCGATTCGGCAGGGAAGCTAAATACGGTATACTGAATTATAATTACGATGATTAAGTATTATTCAGCTAATAAGCCTGGCAATTCCCGACAATGTATCATACTCTATGATACACTATACATGGCTGACACTGAGTCAAAAAACATCAGCAAGGATATTCAATTATTAAAAAGGAAGGCATATATTACTCTTGCTTTAACTCACGAGTGAAGATGTGGCACTAAACTGTCAAATGTAGTTTCGGCAGTGCTTCAACTTACGTCAGAGGTTGTCAGAAAACGATTGTTTACTCAGGCGTTATAGAAATATCTGCTGAATTGAAAAGCCAAGCCACGTTTTACTGTAGTTTAATCGCAAAGTTCAAGTAAGTTATCTCTACCACTGAAACTAAAATATTCATTACATTGTATTTCTCAAGCCAATATCAACGTTTTCACTCAATCAGGGACAGTATACCGCAACGAGCTACCTTCATCTTCATCCTCATTTTCCATCGCCGCTTCTCCTTTCGGGTCGCGGAGGCAGACGTGTCACACAGTGCTTCCAACGTTCCCGATCCTGTGCCAGAGTCCGAGCTTCGGCAAGGGACAAATGGAGCCTGGAACAGATTCCTCCCATATGTTTGCACCAGGTTAAGCTTGGCCGTCCCCTGGGATTTTGCCGGTCGGATTTGTAAGGAACAGT